AGGAGGGGTAGAGCCTTAGTAGGGACCCTACTAAGTCCCTTAAGCTCTATGTCACTGCCCCCCTAACAGGACCGGCGCTTCCTAAAGGCAACTTAGGCAGTCACCTAGGGTGCCACTTTGGAAGGTGCGCTGCCAGGAGCGCCGACCCCTCAAATGCTACAGCCGCCTGAGCGCTCTATAGAGAGCCTCTGGCGGTTGCAGCACTGCCCGGGCCAGCGCGTCCATTAGGGTGCACCAGCCCGGGGGCGTAAGATATGAGGGATTGGCAGGAGGGAAGCGCACAGCACACCCTCCTGCCAGTCCCGCAGTGTAGCATGGTTGAGCTCTGCTCCGGTCTGCGGTACAGGAGCATCTGTTTCCTGTACCCTGCCGGACTGACAGGAAGTGCTCACTCAGTGGGGGGAGAGGAGAGACCACGAGGGGAGGGGGCAGAAGAGAGACCACGAGGGGAGGAGGGAGAGAGGAGATACCACAAGGGGAGGAGGAGGCAGAGGAGACACCATAAGGGGAGGAGGGGGAGAAAAGACCACAAGGGGAGGAGGGGTAGAGGAGAGACCACGAGGGGAGAGGGGAGAGACGACTAGGGGAAGGGTGGGGAGAGGAGAGACCACTAGGGGAGGGGAGAGAAGAGACCACTAGGGGAGGGGAGGACAGGAAGACCACTAGGGGAGGGAGGGGAAAGAAGAGACCAGCAGGGGTGGGGAGGAGAGACCACTGGGGGAGGGGCGAGTAGAGAGCACTAAAAGGGGAAGGGGACAGGAGAGACAGGGGGAGCAGAGGAGAGCAGAGACCACTAAGGAGGGGAGAGGAGAGACCACTAATGGGGTTGGGGGAGGAGAGACCACTAATGGACAGGGGGAGAGGAGAGACCACTAAGGGAGGGGAGAGACCACTAGGAGGGGGGGACAGGAGAGACCACTAGGGGAGGGTGGGGGAGAGGAGAGACCAGCAGGGGTGGGGAGGAGAGACCACTAAGAGGGGGAGGGGAGGGGAGGGGAGAGACCACCAAGGGGGGGCAGAGGAGAGCAGAGACCACTAATGGGATGGGGGAGAGGAGAGACCACTAAGGGACAGGAGAGAAACCACTAAGGGGCAGGGGAGAGCTCTAAAGGACAGGGGGTAGGAGAGAGCACTAAGTGATGGGGGGAGCACCAAGGAATGGGGGAGGGGTGTAGGAGAGAGCACTAAGGGACAGGAGGGGAGAGCTCTAAGGGACAGGAGTTTGTAAGTAGGTAATCTAGTATATTATTAGTGACACTAATCTCTAATTTATCTCATATTAAAGGGACACTATAGTCCCCAGAACCACTGCAGCTTAATGTAGTGGTTCTGGTGTCTATAGCCTGTCCCTGCAGGCTTTTTAATGTAAACACACACTGTGTGCAGCACTGGCGTTAGTTCATATGGCAGATCATATGGTGGGGCATTGTGATGTCACATGGTGGGCACTGCACATGGGGTGGCGTCAAATTTTTCTTTAGGGCAGCAAAAATCCTTGCACCGGCCCTGCCCCCTAATTCCCTGTCTGTAAGGATATGAAATAGTTTATTCTTTTTCCTTTATATGCTTTTAAATAATGTTTGAAATAATTACGATGACCTTGGCAGATGTATTCTGTAACATGCTTTTGAGAGGCCTCCCTTCTACAGGATGTATGACCTCGCTCGATCTCAGGATGTTCTTGTCCCGTCTTCATTCAAATGCTTATCTTTTAATGTCAGACAAGTATGTACTATTTAACTACAAGGAAACGATAAATCTCGCTGCTTGCGTGACAAACTGTGTATAAATGCTAGCCCTGAAAATATACTCACTGAGAACTTGTAAAGCACTCTTTCGTGTCTGTGTCTTAATTTGCCAAACAAGAACTCCCGTCAATTGATGTGGTGACCGGAGAATTGAGAATCGAGGGGAGTTGAGTCCAGAACAGCATTAACCCTTTCAGCTTGGTGTTAGAAGTGGGATTACAGCAGGACCAATGTGGGTAAGTAGCCTTTTTGTGTCTTATTGACGCTGATTGTCTATGACCCCCTTTGGTTCAGTAAGTCTGTATCCAGTAGATAGGAAAGGTTTAAGGACTTTAGTTATATTGAGACTGTAAATAGGTCTCCGGTTTTTACTGGACAGTTGGTCTAGTATAGGGTTCTTGGTAAACCAGGTTAGTAACTAAGATAGATACAGGGTATCTCAGGTAGATACAGGTTATCTCAGGTAGATACAGGTTTTGAGACTATAAAGCAGTCTCCGGTTTATTAAGACTATAGGTGTTCTAGGAAACACGGTTTATAGCTCTAGAATAACCCAAACTTCTCGTTCCTCTGGTCACCCTGTGTCTGCTTTGTGTTTATTTTGCTTGTTAAGTAGAGACACACTATTGGTAAGTAGGTAGTGTCTCTACCCTGAGCCAGAAATATGGGAAATAATCAGTCTATTTCTTAAGCTTTACCCCACCCAGGGGAGTTATGTCTAAATTATGTTACTAGAATAGGAGCACAAGGAGGATTTCTTACAATCCCCTTTGTGTCAAATTTAGCAGAGACTATGAAGTCATCTGATCCTTTTCCCAGGTATGGGGCTAATGATTTCTGTAGCGGAGATACAATATTCCACAGATTATCTCCGCTTAAGATCCCAGTGAGGCTCAGGAACAAGTAATTATAAATCCACAAAGCAAGGTTTCCAGCAAGTAAAATAATCCAACAGTATCCCAACAGCAATCCCAATAACTGGACGACACACAGCATCAGGAGCTGAACTGAAAACCTTTATTTCACAGTGGCCTTATAAAGCATGCTCCCATGCAAGGGAGGGATTTCCATTAATTACTACAGTATCCAATCATGTTCCGGTAACCTCCCACACATCCCCTCCCCTCAGCCTGCATCATAATCCCCTTATCCAGGACACCAATTCCTCCCGTTTCTGGATGTACCCCTATACCTAGGGGTACCACTTTAAATTATACATCCCCTGGTAGCCCTGATCTGGGTGAACAACATATCCAAAAATCACCCAGATCAGACCAGGAGTTCGGGAATATCATGGAGGGAATAAAATGACCGACCGCGCTGGAAGGAATAGCCGAATGGGGCTCCATGCGATGGGGCCCTGCGGTCGGTCCTGGAACAAGGGAATAAATCATACGAAAGCCTCCAGTTACAGAGACTGGGGAGGGTTCGCCTGAATCCCCTCGTTCGGTTGTTTCTATCTACCGAACGAGGGGCCGTTCGGTAGTTTGGAACCGAACGGACCGGGCTTGTGGAGGTCTCAGCGGTGTTCGCCTAGTCGAGTGTCCGATTTGAGTTCCAGACACTCGACGGCAAAACACCGCTGTTCAGGAGTTTTAAAATGGCCGCCGCCATGTGTTCGTTTCCTGAATGGCGGCCACCCCCGAGAACAATGTTGCAACGGGTAATTGAAGGCACACTTCACACAGGGGAGGTCTGACTATTCAGTAGTTTCATTCGAACAAACTAAGGGAATGAAACTACCGAACAATCAGACAAACACAATACATTTAACACATATAACTTTGCCATTTACACGAATGCAGTCAAAACCAATACAATTCCCAGGACAGCCCAATGCCATCCGCTACAATTTCCATATGAATATGATTCGAGGATTGTGTTTGGGAGATAGGAAGTCATGGCCGTGGTATGGTGCTGATCCAGATTGGGATAAGGAATATATGAAAGCAGGAGGTGAAAATTGGTTGCAGATAGCCCCTCATTGGTTTCCTTGCACTGTACACAGATAAACATACAGTTAATTATAAATGAAATATTAGGGTATGACTCAAATTCTGGTTGAGATTGGTCTAGGGTACCCTCTATCAGTGAGACAGACAATGGTACTGGAGTTGGAGAGGCTGGTAGTGATGGTGTTTATGAGCTTAGTACTTCAGCAGGATGTGCTAAAATGTGGGACGAGGTGGAAGTTGAAATGTTGAGATTATGGAAGAATAAGCAGTCTATATCCACTGCTTTGGCATGTAAGCAAGGTGCAAAGGAAGAAATTGGTATTTTTCTAAAGAGATTTTACAAGTGTTGGAAGGATGAGGCAGGTTTGAAGTCTGGAGATGATATGGATCTCCTTAAAATACAGTCATGCCTTGGTAATATGTTGCCACAGTATTCTTTGCTTGTGAAACAATTGATTTCAGACTGGGCCAATTTGGGTGGCTCAGATTTTCTTACCAAGGTTATAGAGAAGGAAAATGCAGGTTGTTTTGACTTAAGAAAAGATTCAGGAAGTAAGGTTGCTTATTATGCTCAGGGATTGCAACACTGTCCACCTACACAGGCCCGAGAGAGAGGATGGGATGGAGCACATAGAGCCTGTGGAAGGGGTGGTCAAAGAGAGGCAAGGGGATGGAGACAGGGAAATCGCGGTTATAGGGGCAGGGGTAACCAAGGAGGAATAGACAGGAACACTTGTTTCAACTGTGGCCAGCATGGCCACTGGAGGAATGAGTGTCCACACCCCAGGAAACCCCAGCCACCCCAACAACCCCACAATTCTCAAAATACGCCCGGTAGGCAAGAACAACACCAGGCCCACTCCCAACACCACTGGCCAGCACATCCCCTTCCCCCCTCGCTCCAGCAAACCCAAACTGCACTAGGGCCATTCACAGGTACCACTGACCAGCACACCCATCACATCCCATGGCCCCAATAGGGTTGCCTTGAAGGTGACACTCCAACTTTTCCACTTTTGTCCTCTACTAATGATGATCAGCCTTTTTGCATTCTGGTCATAGAAGGTAGATCCTTGCCATTTTTGGTAGATACTGGAGCTACGTGTTCCAGTCTCTGTGATACCTATTATCAGGGAACAAGGGAAAAGTCTACACCTTCATTGGGTATTAATGGAGTGTCAACACCCACTTTTGTCACACCACGACTGTCTGTTTTCTGTCCTCTTAATGGTTCTTCAACTGTGCACCATTTTCGTCTAATACCTAAATGTCCTGGTAGTTTGCTGGGAAGGGATCTTCTTGGTATTCTGGGAGCTACCATTACTTGCACGCCCTCTGGTGGTATTGATGTGTCTATGTTGTGTTCTGAAACTATTGATTTGTCTGATGTTCCTTCCTCTGTGTGGGCTTCATCTAAGTTAGATGTAGGATTTGTCAACTGCACCCCTTACAAAGCCAAACTAAAACCAGATGTAACTCCTATCTACCTTAAACAGTACCCCCTGTCAGAAGCCAAGGTCCCCATGATCCAATATTTTCCAAAGCAGGGAATACTAAAGCCAGTAGTTTCCCCATATAACACACCTATTAATCCAGTTCCTAAAGGTAATGGTTATCGCTTAGTTCAGGACTTTAGAGCCCTGAATAGTTTAATTGTGCCCATTGCACCCATTGTCCCTGATGTGACATCCCTCATTACAGCCATTCTACATGATGCCACTTGCTTCACTGTCATTGATTTAAGTAATGCATTTTTTTTCTATACCTATTGATCAAGAGACACAGCTACTTATGGCTTTTACTTTTGAAGGCTGTCAGTATACCGGGACACGCTTACCCCAAGGCTATGTGGATTCCCCAGCCGTTTATTCGCTGGTACTCCAACATACTCTATGTATGGTGGGGCACTGTATGTGTGTGGGGGGCAGTGTGTGTATGGGGGGCACTGTATGTGTGTGGGGCAGTGTGTGAATGGGGGGCACTGTATGTATGTGTGGAGCAATGTGTGTATGGGGGGCAATGTGTGTATGGGGGCATTGTGTGTATGGGGCAGTGTGTGTATGGGGGGCACTGTATGTATGTGTGGGGCAATGTGTGTATGGGGGCAGTGTCTGTATGGGGGCAATGTGTGTGGGGGGAAATGTGTCTATGGGTGTGCAGTGTGTGTATGGGGGGGGAGGAGGGTAGGGAGGCTTTAAAAAAATTTTTTTTTTAATAAAATTAATATAATTCTTACATTAATTGAGGAGGAGGGAGGACATTTCTCCATCCCTGGTGGTCCGGTGGGGATTCCCTGGTGGTCCCAGTGGTGGTGAGGTGAACTCTAGCCCGTAGCTCCAGGGCTAGAGTTCACTCTCGCGAGGTTTGGAGCGTTGCCACGGCAACACTCCGTGCTCGCGAGAGTAGGACCGGGAGGAGCTGCAGGTAAGAGCTCCTGGGTCCTCTCTCACTCCCGGTCAGCACGGTGCCTGCAGACCAGGGAGGGAGTTTTCTGATCTCCCTCCCCGGTCCGCAGGCACATTGCAGGGCTAGCACTTGGACAATGCCAGCCCTGCATTGCCCCCCCCACCCCCCCCGGATCCGCCAGTGCATAGCTATGAGGCAAGCACTGTGGATAGTGTCAGTTTGCTCAAACACTTAGCAACTGTGGGTCACAAGGTTGCAAAACACAAAATGCAATTGTGTAAATCAAAGGTTGATTACTTAGGTATTGTTCTGGCTTCAGGCACCAGACAATTGAGTCCACAAAGTATTGAGGTCATTCAGAGGATTCCTAAACCCACTACTCGGAAGGAGTTGCTCACCTTCCGCGGCATGATTAATTACTGCTGCCAATGGATCCCTGAATGCTCCCATTATGACTCAATCCTAAGGGAGGCTGTACGTTCTGACAACCCTGAAAATGTCTGCTGGTCACCAGACATGCTAGCTGCGTATATTGCCCTCAAAGTTGCTATTGTAGAAGCCCCGGCTTTAGGACTACCTGTGTATTGTAAACCATTTCATTTGTATGCTCGGGACAATTGTAAAACCATGGCCGCGGTCTGTGCACAAGAGCACGGAGGCGCTATGCGTCCCATAGCATTCTTTTCCAAAGTAGTTTCAGCTCCGGTACAGGGTATGCCGGCGTGTCTCAGAGCATTGGTAGCATGTGCAATGGCTGTTGAGACTGCTACTACTATCACACTAGGGCATCCTACAATACTCCATACCAGTCCCCAGGTCACTCAGCTTATAAAAAATCTCACCACACAATACATGACAGCCCAGTGCTTAAGTGGTTATGAGATTATTCTTCTTAATACCCAGAATCTGTCTATTGTCTATAGTCCTGTTAATTCTGGTCCTATGTCTGTTTTGCATGCTATTCTCACTTCTGCATCTGACTCTGTGTCTATACCATCTGAGCCTCATAATTGCATTGAACAAATACATATTGCCACATCTCCCAGAGCAGACCTCTCCTCCGGATGTGACCACTGTCTTTGTGGATGGCTCTTGCTCCAGACCAAATGATGGTACGTAACTCACAGGCTATGCCGTGGTACAGTTACCTGATAAAATCATTGAAGCTGACACTATTTTGCAGCCGTCTGCACAATTTGCAGAACTCATTGCTCTCACACGTGCCTGTCAGCTTTTCTCAGGACAGCGAGTGAACATTTACACAGACTCACGATATGCTCATGGGGTAGTGCATGATTTTGGTGTGATTTGGAAACAAAGAGGCTTTGTAGGAGCCGATGGAAAAGCCATTTCACACACAAATCTCATCCAATCCCTCCTAGATGCTATCCTGCTACCATCTGAAGTAGCTGTTATCCACTGCAAGGCACACACTCTGGGTAGTGATGACATTTCCAGAGGTAATGCCTTGGCTGACAAAGTGGCAAAAGAAGTTGCAGCCAAGACTCTTTACTATGAAATGTTTCCTGCTATGCTCACACCTCCCACATGCCCTACTGACAGTTTGCTTTTACAGCTCCAAGCCTTTGCAACGCAATCTGACTTTGATTTTTTGATTAAACAAGGTTTAGAAAAAGATCAGAATGATCTTTTCTCTAAAGAGGGGAGAATAGGCATACCTGAAGCCAGCTGCTTTATTTTCATCAGTCAGGCACATGGTCCCAGTCACAAAAGCATAGCAAGCACCATCCAATTCCTCATGAATTCATTTTATATTAGGAATCTCAGGCAGCATGTACAGTCTTTTGTAAGATCGTGTGAACCATGTATGAGAACGCATCCTAATATTCCACACAAATCACAGCACGAACATTTGCCCCCTCCAGCTGCTCCTTTTACACACTTACAGATTGATTTTACTCATGTACCCAAAATTGGTAAGAAACAGCAATACTTACTGGTCATAGTTGATCAGTTTAGTAGATGTCCCGAGGCCTTTGTGACATCTAGGGAAGATGCTAGGACTGTAGTGAAGATTCTTGCTACTGAAATAATTCCCAGGTATGGCTTCCCTCTGCAGATTAACTCTGATAATGGCACGGCTTTTGCCAGTAAGGTTACCCAGGAACTTGCTAAATTCTTGCAAGTTACCTGGAAGTTTCATTTACCCTATTATCCACAGAGTTCAGGGGCAGTTGAAAGCACGAATAGGACCATTAAGGAGAAGCTTATGAAAGCAACTGCAGGAACATGGGTAAATTGGACAAAATATCTACCAGCTATTTTAGCTGAGATAAGAATGACTCCCCATAAGGTGACTAAATTATCTCCATTTGAAATTCTGATGGGATGACCTTTTCCCACACCCTGGGCCAGGGAACCGCTTGTTATAATGTCTGGGGATTTACAGCTAATACAAGAACAATATGTACAGGAATTGTTGATAAAACTGAATGGTATATATGGCAATGTTTCTTCGCAGTTTCCCTTACCTTCACAGGAACCTACTCATCCATACCAGCCTGGTGGCAAGATGTATATCCGTCAGCTGAACAGGACCAAGAAAGAAGGATACCCTTTCAGACCACCTGCTACTGTGATTGCTGTAACCAGAACCGCTGTCCTCACAGATTCCCATGACATCTGGATTCACGCATCCCGAGTGAAGCTGTGTCCAAAGAGGGGAACCAAGGAAGACAACACCACTCCTCACTCGGAAACAGAAGAACTTCCCTTTAGCGAAGCATCATGGCTTTCACACCATATCGAAGACTGAGAGGATCATATGAACCTGAGACCAAGATTATGTTTTGCGCTATGCTTTCTGGAGTTGTTATACTCCCTCTGATATTGTTCCTTGAATGCCATTATGAGTATAAGTCAAAGGGAAGTTTGAAACCTGTTTGTTTCTGGAGAAAAGACTCTGACATGATGAACAATTCTTCAATACCCCCAGCCCAGTTAGGCATTAGCCCCTCATCTAGCATTCGTCACACACACGCTCCCTCAAGAACCTTTCTCCACCACCTATCTATCAGCATGTAATATGCAATCACTCATTGACTGAATGCATTTGGATGAATTGGAAAAATAATAACCCTTATAAGTACCAGTTACCCATATGGAATGTGTCCACAGCTAATGAAACCGATGCATCATGTTTGTTTGAAGGTTCACGGAAAATCGTTAGATCTTACAACGCCGAAATGTGCACAGTTAAGGTTGCTAATTACACTAGCATCTGTGCCACCTTATTTAATATAAGTTCTGATGGTAAGAAAAAAACACCTCAACAGGTTTGGGATATATATATATTATAAGAAAATTAGTAAGGTTGCATATCAATGTAAACAGACAGGCCTTATTACTTTTAATATTGATTATACAACTGGTACCATTAATTGGAAAAGGGGACAAATGTTAGTCATTTGAAAATCACAGTGAGAAGACGCCAGCGTCCATAGGAAAGCATTATGAATGCTTTCCTATGAGACAGGCTGAATGCGCCTGCAGCTCCTGCCGCGCATGCGCATTCAGCCGAAGAGGAGGATCGGAGGCGGAGAGCTCCCCGCCCGGCGCTGGAAAAAAGATAAGTTTAACCCCTTTCCTTGCCATCCAGCCCGGCGGGAGTGGGACCCTGAGGGTGGGGGCACCCTCAGGGCACTATAGTGCCAGTTAAACGAGTATGTTTTCCTGGCACTATAGTGGTCCTTTAACACATTCCCAGTACCAGTTTATGATCTCTTTGCCAGGAATTTAACCTGGTGGGCACCCACATACACAGGGGACTATATTTTCCCCAAAGATAATATGACCTATTCTCCCAAACACTGTGTTCTCACTGACAAAGGATATGCATGTCGACACTCGTCCCCTATTTACGAACCATGCTTACTCCAAAATGAACTTAACAAGTGCATATGGCACATATATCCTGAAAATTATTTTACCATGACTGAAATAAGCACACAACATATCTGTTTGGCAACTAACCTCCCTACAAAGATAATTACTAGTAATACAAGTATTAATCTACCTCTCCCCTTTTCAGGATGTTTGACTAATGTTACCTGGTTAGATCTTAATGGCACCCAATATTATTTCAGCGACACAATCACTTTAGACAAACATATTAATGCCCTATTAGGCTCTCTGCCTTTTAAAGATTACCATTTACCTCTTGAGACTATTGTCTCCTTAATGAAAGGAAAACAAAATATGTTTAAACATCTTGTTACACATAATGATGCTATAGTACACACACAGGTAGCCACACATATCCTAAAAGGAGAACTCCTTAAGGTGAGTTCACAAATTCAGAATGATTTAGCCCATCATTGGTACAATGCTTTTACTGGTTGGTCCCCTACTGGATCCCAGATAATGAAATCATTCTTTTATCCTCTTGTTATCCTAGTCCTGATTTTATTGTGTATGATTTTATATAACTGCCACCTTACTTGTACATTGAGGAAGAGAATACAGAACTTAATCCATAATGCAGAACAGAAACAATTGGACATTCTCCTCTCTGCCACTGGAGGGTATCAACCCATCTTTAAAGCTGGGCCTTAGGAATTACCACATGGGAATCGAGGTGAAGAAATTAATGAAAGTCCCGCAGGGGGTGACTAGCACCCCTGAAAATACCATGTGGAAGTTTCTCTGTCCTGGGAAGATTTTATCAATAATATGAGCAAATTTTTTGCTCAAAGAGGGGAATGTAAGGATATGAAATAGTTAACTCTTTTTGCTTTATATCAATAGTGAATATGAGAAAAGATTAAGGTTAAGAGGTTCAAAACTTAGGTGCTCCAATCACCAATGTGAGTCACTTGTCACATAAACTAAATAATACAATATACAAAAAGATGTGAATGGTGAGAGCACACTATACAACTTTACCCTTATTGAACATAGAATTACACATCCACTCTTGTAAATCTAAAAACAAGAATAAAATAATATATAGGGTAATAACGTAGCAACTAGAGATATCAAGTGCTGTAGATGGTTAAACTCACATGGTCATGAGCCACTTATAAATGAGACAAATAAAACATACAATCAATCATAAAATATCCAAGAGGACTTTTTTATGATTGATTGTATGTTTTATTTGTATCCAGCTACCTATAGTGTGTCCAATAAATAAGTTTTTGTTTCATCACTTCCTGCATCCTGAAGTATTTGAAGCAATAAAGACTAAGGACCACAGAGGAGATCCAGCTTGGAATTCGATTATACATACGTTGATCAATTGATGTGGTGACCGAAGAATCGAGAATCGAGGGGAGTTGAGTCCAGAACAGCATTAACCCTTTCACTGTCCCCCTAGCCCTTTGTCACTGTGTCACATCATGCCATGTTCTGTGGAGATGTCTGGCTTTGGCTTCTGGTATCCAGTACTCTTTTTACATTTCTTGTTTAGTTTTTCTTTGTTTTTCTGGTTTTCTATTCTGTGTCTGGTTTTCTTTATGCTGGGTTTTTCTGGGTTCATTTCTGTAATCCGGGATCCGCTGTAGCTGCATCAGGGTTCTGGTATGTGGCCGCGCAAACGCTGGTGCTCAACACCAGGGGGCGTGCGGTTACCCTGCACTGGGCCCTGTAATCCACTTCCACGCTGAAGACTCCCACTTCTCATCAGGCACTCAGGGGTCCCGGTTTCCGTACCGCCACCCATGACACACTGTTCCTTTAGCCTTTTCTCATGCTATCTACTTGGTTCTCCAAATCTCCATCCCCCTAGGGCTTTTTCACTTTGTTCCCCTTGTGTCACTGACTCTCCCCCTACCACTGCCACACTTTGAACCTAGCCTTGTTGAATCCAAATTGTGTTGTCCCCCTAGTGCTGTGTCACTCTTTTCCTCTAGCCCTGTGTCACTCTGTTCCTTAAACCTCTGTCCCTCCAAGCCCCTGTGCGCTTAGATCTTTGTCACACTGTCAACCTACTCCAATGTCACACTGTTCCTCAGAGGGACAGATCAACAAAGAGATAAGGAGTCAGGGGATTAAGAGAACAGAGTGACGCAACAGAGTTAGATGGAGAGAGTAACAAAGGGCTAGGGTGACAGGATGTTAGGGGGACAGACTGACAGAGTAAGAGGACAGAGTAACAGGGGATTAGAGCCTCTAACCCCCTGTCAACCTGTCCCCCTGTAACTCTGTTGCCCCAAGCCCATTTCCCACTAATAACCTAACAGCAGAAGTGTCAGGAATAGCTGATGCCCAACACGCAGAACTTAAGTAAAAATTTATGAAAACCCTAAAACGTGTTACCGTCCCTTAGAATGGCTGGATTTAACGTATAAAAGAAAAAGCCACAAGACAGGATATAGACAATAACGCAGAAATCATAGAAACAATGAACAAGCCAACGGTCAAGGAATATAGAAGTCAGAATAGTCAGGAGCCAAGCCAAAGGTCAAGGAATACAGAGATTGGATAGTTAGAAGGAAAGCCAAGGTCAAATACACTAGAATCAATACCAAAATGCGCTCTCGGATAACCACAATGGAAACCACAACAGGGCACAGAGAAATGGACAAAAAAGGTATATATAGCCTAAGGTGCTCCCTGATTGGCTGCAGGGAAGCATGTGATAGTGGACATGTGTGTGTGACACACCCACACATTCAAAATGGCATGGCACTCTAAGGGTATATTACAAACCCCTAAAAGCGTCTAATCTGCAGCGGCCTGCGTTTCTAATGATTGCAGACCCGGCTGCTGTGTGAGGGGGAGGAGCTACTGTCAGGCGCTTAGGTGAGAGATGGGGGGCATTCCCATTACCACGTGGGAATGCTGCCAAACCGAGATGTGCCTGCCGTGTCCCGGCGGGTGAGCGGACCCGGCGGGTGTCTGCAGGACAGGTAAGGATCTGGCGGCATTCTCCTTGACGTGTGGGAATGCTGCCACAACGATGTGCGCCCACTTGGACCCATACCTCTCTCTGGGAGGAGCGGACCGGCAGGTTGTGTCTGCAGGACAGGTAAGGATCCGGAGGCATTCCCTTTGACGTGTGGGAATGCCGCCGCAATGATGTGTGCCCACTGGGACCCATACCACTTTCTGGCAGGAGCGGACCCGGCAGGTGTCTGCAGGACAGGTAAGGATCCAGAGGCATTCCCCTTGACGTGTGGGAATGCCGCTGCTATGATGCGCGCCCGCCAGGACCCATAATGCTCTCTGGTAGGAGCGAACCCGGTGGGCTGCGTGACAAGAAGCAGACGTGGAGGATGGAGTAATCCTTTAAAATCTATGTGGGGTAGATAACCAACTCCTTTAAATAACCTTTGCTTTTCTTTTTTTTTTTTTTTTTTAATGATGATAAATTACATGATATGATTTAAAAGTTCTTACATAATGCCACTATATTTTCCTACCCCCATGACTAGTCACCCAGGGAGCAATTGCCCCACTTGCCAGCCCTTCCCTGCTCGCCGTCACATTGTGCAAGCAGAAACCTTTAACTTTACATTACACCAGAAACACCTGTTCCTGCTCTCAATTAATACATGCTAGCAGGTACACATCATGCCGTAATATATCTTCCTCACGTTGTTATCGTGTCACTTGTTGGCACCTTGACTGCAACAATTACATTGAGAAAGCTGGCAATCCTCATCCAGCACCACGTGAACCTCCTTAAATCCTTTAATGGTTATCTGTTTACGTAATAACGAGCTATTAATACAAACTGTTTTTTGCTCACTAGTATTTCAGACAAATATTGCACTAGAAATTATGCAGGGATTTTTATTTGATGCATATAATATTCTAGCACCCATTCTGTACATCTATACCATGCCAGAATTTAGGGTATTCTTAAGAGAACACTGATTATTAGTTATAGTAACTTAGCTAGACATTAAAGGAACACTGTAAGAACGATAACTACTATAGCATGCCGTAGTGGTTATAGTGCCTGGAGTTCTTGGTGCCTCCCAATATAAGCAGTCAAACCGTTCTTTAACTTCTAACCTCGTGTCTGGCATTCACAGGCCACCACTCCCTGCTCTCAGAGAGTTGGAAGTGTTCTCAGATCTGAGCTAAGCTGGAAAGTGCATGATAGCAAGACAAAAACCTCGTTTTCGAGGTAAACAGGAGGACAACCTAAAATGGCAGAGGCCTAGTGTCAAGCTGAAGGCTGCAGGGAAAAAGTTGCACTTGTCAGATCCCTCAATAAAATCTTTGCTGCCTTCTGGGACAAGCTAGAGCGACACCTGCAACGGTCTACTAAACAGAGAAAAAGTGATCAAAAGAGAGCGGCAAGGCCCACCAAGAGGTCAAGATCCCAGCAGAGCGGACCGTACCGTCCCACAGAAAGCAGGTACTAGGCGAGAGATTCCATTACTGTTACTGGGACTGTCTTGCTACTACACCTGGATGCCGTACATGCTGTTATTGGAGTCCGGGAGCACACAAGCAGCAGGACCAGATTAAGAGCCCAGTGGACCTGGAGCTAACAATTATGAGGGGCCTAAGCACAGAATCTTATCGACCAAAAACACTAAAACAGTCATACCTCTCAAGCATTATGTACCTGGTGGAGATGTTGCGGAAGGGAAACTCATAGGATGCAGCTATAAGAAAACTCAGATTCTCTTAAAATATGCTAATGCTCTCTCTAATTCATGCTTTCACCTTTTAAGTAAATCCATACCCCCCCCTAACAGCAGTGTCCAGTGAAGCAAAAAGTCAATGGGCGGTGTAAAAGGGTGGGCCACTGGTGTGGATCATGTAACCAGAACCTCCGAAAGGGACGAACATGCCAAGAAAGGAGGCGTGTCTGCCCAAAGAATTGGAAGGCTAGCCTGGCATGAATGCATGTCAGGCTACCTGCCAATCATGCATGCTGGCCAACAGCATCCTGAGCTTGGCATAAATGCGTCTAATGATGCGCTTGCTCCATGCTTTCTAGGGACTGTCCCCTAGCACTCGCTGGTCCACTTGTCTCCTAACCTTGCTGTTATGCTGTTATTGGAGTCCGGGAGCACACAAGCAGCAGGACCAGATTAAGAGCCCAGTGGACCTGGAGCTGACAATTATGAGGGGCCTAAGCACAGAATCTTATCGACCAAAAACACTAAAACAGTCATACCTCTCAAGCATTATGTACCTCGTGGAGATGTTGCGGAAGGGAAACTCATAGGATGCAGCTATAAGAAAACTCAGATTCTCTTAAAATATGCTAATGCTCTCTCTAATTCATGCTTTCACCTTTCAAGTAAATCCATACCCCCCCCCTAACAGCAGTGTCCAGTGAAGCAAAAAGTCAATGGGCGGTGTAAAAAGGTGGGCCACTGGTGTGGATCATG